TCGTGATCCACCCGCCTCGGCCTCCCAAAGTGCTGGGATTACAGGCTTGAGCCACCGCGCCCGGCGGTCTCGATCTCTTGACCTCGTGATCCACCTGCCTCGGCCTCCCAAAGTGCTGGGATTACAGGCTTGAGCCACCGCGCCCGGCCTAGAACGAGGAATTCTACCTGTAACTGGCTGGAGATCCACTGAGGGGTTCACCACCTTCGGACCAGCCCCATTATTTCGCTTCACATTTGTTTATTCAGACTGTCGCCCAGGCTGGAGTGCAGTGGTGCGATCTCGGCTCACTGCAACCTCCTCCTGCCGGTCTAAGCGATTCTCCTGCCTCACCATCCGTAGTAGCTAGGACTACAGGCAAGTGCCTGGCTAATTTTTGTATTTTTTTGTAGAGACCGGGTTTTACTATGTTGGCCAGGCTCGTCTGGAACTCCTGACCTCAAGTGATTCACACACCTTGGCCTCACATTTATAGGCGTGAGCCACCACGCCCGGCCTCACATTTATTTTTATTTATTTATTTTTTCAAGTCAGGGTTTCACTCTTGTTGCCCAGGTTGGAGTGCAATGGCTCTCTCTCCATTCACTGCGACCTCCGCCTTCCGTGTTCAAGGGATTCTTCTGCTTCGGCCCCTGAGTAGCTGGTATTATAGCACTACCACACCTGGCTAATTTTGTATTTTTAGTAGAGGTGGGGTTTCTCCATGTTAGTCGGGCCGGCCTCAAACTCCCAACCTCAGGTGATCCACCTGCTTTGACCTCCCAAAGTGCTGAGATTATAGATGTGAGCACCACGCCTGGCCTTGCATTTATTTTTGTATCTTCCTCTTTTAGTTTACCTAGGGCGTTGTTGATTGTTTGCACGGTACAGTTCTACATGTTTGACAGAGGCGCCGGGTGGTGGCCTGACTGCGCTGCCGTCCAGGTGCAGAGCCCCCAGCTTCCCTGTGCGCCCCTGTCCTCAGCCTGCCTGGGAGCTCTCGGCTGTTGCCCGTCTAGCCTTACCCATAGTTACACCCTTCTCAGAAAGTTGGGTAAATGGAATCAGCTGGACTTTGCCTTTTGGTCCTGGTGGCTTTCAGGCGGCAAAATCCATGTTGCTGCAGTTTTCAAAAGTTACCCTGTTTTTTTTGCTGACTGTAAATCCACTGGACAGTTGGAACACAGATTGTTTATCCGTTTGCCTGCGGGTCACAGGACTGTGGGCTGTTTCCAATTCTTGGTGATTAGGATGAAGCCTTGCTAAACTCCCCTGGTGGGACTTTTTGTGGAAGTCAGTGTTGGAATGGCAAGGTTCTCAGTGGACTGCCCGGTGTGTGCTAAGTGTCTGTTTAACGTCTCTGCGTCCTCACAGTTGCCGTTTGTCGGTGCTGAGAAACCCACTGGACCCTGATGTTGGGGCTTGGGGGAGTGGTCTTGCCAGGTGCCTGTCATCTTTTCCCTGGTAGTGAACGTTCCGGTGAAGGCAGCCCCCCACCCTGCCCCAGCGTGACCCTGCCTGGCCAACGCCCCATCGTGAATAGTAAGGAGCGGGCTTTCTAGTTGTGGGCGGGCCTGTGCTGCTGTGCCGCGTCTTTCCCGCGCCCTCACTGGCCAGGCCCTGGCTTGGCAGGGTGTGCTGCCCTGGCGCCGTCTGCGTCCTGTTCCTGCTCTGGTTGGCCCGCTGCCGGGTCCAGCATGTTCATTCACCCAAGTGCCAGAGGCAGCCTTCTGACAGCCCGCCGTGAGCGATGCTTGTCATATATATATATATTTTTTTGAGATGGAGTTTCGCTCGTTACCCAGGCTGGAGTGCAGTGGCGCGATCTCGGCTCACCGCAACCTCCGCCTCCTGGGTTCGGCCAATTCTCCTGCCTCAGCCTCCTAAGTAGCTGGGATTACAGGCATGTGCCACCGTGCCCAGCTGATTTTTTGTATTTTTAGTAGAGACGGGGTTTCACCATGTTGACCAGGATGGTCTCGATCTCTTGACCTTGTGATCCACCCGCCTCGGCCTCCCAAAGTGCTGGGATTACAGGCGTGAGCCACCGCGCCCGGCCCGCTTGTCATATTCTTAGTTCCTGTTTAAGAATTTTGCTTTCCCACGAGAAGTGAAGGGGCAGTTCTGATTTTTTTTTTTTTGAGATGGAGTTTTGCTGTTGTTGCCAAGGCTGAAGTGCAGTGGTGCAATTTCAGCTCACCGCGGCCTCTGCCTCCCGGGTTCAAACAGTTTTCCTGCCTCAGCCTCCCTAGTAGCTGGGATTACAGGCATTCGCCACCACACCCACCTAATTTTGTATTTTTAGTAGAGACAGGGTTTCTCCCTGTTGCTCAGGCTGATCTCAAACTCCCAACCTCAGGTGATGTGCCACCT